TACCGACCTAGTCTGGCCTTCTTCCGTGCGCGTGAAATAGGCAGGCTACGCCAGACTACTAGTATATATAAATCTCATTATGTGATAAAGTTTTATTTTTAGTTGTTATTCCTGTTGATGGCAACCCCCAACTTTAATTTGATGTGTGGTTAATGGTTAGTTAACCATTCCTTGTGTTATGGGTGGATCTTAGAATAATGTATGTAGAGGGAAGTAATACTAAGCTTTAACCTTATAACATTTGTATTTGAGCCTCCTGAGTTATTGAAGGTAGTTTGTTGAGGGTTTGGCTTTTTAACACCTCATTCACTTGGCAATCAGTTTTACGTAATAAGACAAATAATTTTTTTAAAACTAAATAGTTATGCCTTAAGCTTAACAATTGACATGAGCCATTAACCATAGCCCGTACCTACTAGATTCCCACCATTAACCACATATTTAATCAATTGTGGGTATTAGATGATGTGCAGTACTTTGTAAACTGTACGATTTGTTCGTAACCCGGAAGCCCATTAGCAGATAATGAAGTGTAGAATGAGTAAATTACGTGTTATCATTTAACCCTCACCTGTGTACGTCCGCAGTTCTTCTGTGTGTGTGCCACTGTGACATCCTATTCGGCCAGCCCATAGTCGAAAACCCTTGTTGCCATGACCAACAGCAAGACAATGATAGAAGCTCTAAGTGCTCCAAGGTCAATCACATGGGTAAGAGTGTACTGTGCCATAGCACAGTGGTTTGAGGTGTGCCTTTGTGTTGTGTTGTGTTGTGTTGTAGATTTGAACCCCTACCAGCTGAGTTGCCCTGGTATGTAGCTCAGTTGGTAGAGCGCTCGCCTAGACTGCAGAGTGTCGTGGGTTCGAATCCCACCTAGGGCAACTCTTCTCCTTTTCTTTGAAAAGAAAGAGCTGTCCTGGGTATAGTTGACTTGTTTGCCTTGCCTTGCCTTTCTACCTCGCTACCAAGAAGTTGTTGTGACATGAACATAAACGTTGACTCCCAAGTATAATACCTGTACTGCATGAGTAGGTCAGTCGCGCGCAGTAAACGCGGCGTGTACGGGATTGCCGGACCAATCGCTACTTACTTGGGCGGTGAATTTGATCGCCAGTGCGCTCTTTTTGCAGTGAATTGCGTGGTATAAAACACTGAATTGCCTGGGGGAAATTCAGTGTTGCTTTGCGTGGCTGCTTCAATAATCGTAGGTTGGCGCCATACGATTTCCTCACACATTGTCTTAGCCCACAGTCAACTATCATAATACAGACGGTGACCATAAGGCGAGAGATGTCAAGCCACGAGAGGTATGAACGCTTAATGCACTAATGTCTGCGTCTTTTCTAACATGTTTATCTCCATGTGCTCGTTTCTGTTTGTTTCCCGTTGTATTGGTTGAATGGCCCTGTTCTGGAAAAATGTTTTCACCCACTACTCTCAAAAATAGTATAGCTAGGCCTCGAAAAATAATATTCACTGATGAAAACACGACTTAGCTAATATAATACCACTGTCGTCGATTGGCTAGGATTGGATTGCATTTTGTCATTTGCCTAGCTACTTCGAGAAACTCAGTAGCTATACGTTGTCATGTATAGCTACTTGCTTCGTTTAGCAGAAAGTCCCTCGATGGTTTCGTAGCACGGTTTTTCCACCATTAATGACGCCAGGATCATGCCTAGCTAGCTACTCTGCAAAGTGAGAAAGCAATAGAGATGACGAAAACCAGGCAGCCTGAGATCGACGATTCGGGCCATCTGGGGGAATCTTTCCGTTAGAGGCGAATCATCACTAGCACATCGTATGGAAAGTACCAAGATCTGTCGTCTGAGACTAGTTCTTGACGCCTACACATCACGGAGATTTCACAATGACGTAATGCTCAGAGGGTTCGCCCGATTTCGCCAATCAAACACTGTTTGTACGTACTACAAATGCGCATGCGCACAGGCAGGTGGTTGACCGCGTGAAATCGCGCGCGAGCCGAGAAAATGGCAGCCAGCAGCAGACTCTCTTGCAGACAACAGAGGACCGCTATCAACCCTCCTTCACTATAGTAGAAGCCAACTGGGCCGCCAGCAGCGTCGCAACGAAGCAGCCGGCGAAGAGGGGAGCCTACGCAAAGTTTACGGTAGGTCAGTACGCATCGATGCACGGAATCACTGCTGCAAAGCGTCGTTTCTCGAAGGAGACTTGAAGAAGAGCACGATACGTACCTAGAAGACTTGGCGGAAAAAGTCGCAAAAAGCGATCGCATGTACGCGCACTCAGCTAGCAGTGATAAAATAGGGGCGCGTAAACGCGAAAATAAAAACCACGAAAATTTCCTCTAGAGGCCCCAGGACAGAGGTGATTTCGCGAAATTTTGCACCAGCGGAAATATCCCGCTTCACGTTTTAACGCAATGCTAGAAAGATAAAAGCCAGGTCTAAAAATAATAGCCTAGGAAACGCCGTCCTGCGCCAGGCACTCGCGAGAAGACATGAGAACGTTTATTAATTGTTTCTGTAAGAGCCCCGACAATTTAGCACCTCTTCACCAGTTTCTCCTGCACCCAACACAATGCCACTATAGCGCACAGATCAGACATAGCATGTGCACAACAATATTATCTGCTTTATGCGTTGCCTAAAGACACCTGTGCATTTATCATAGAACTGCCAAGTTCAGGGCTAGGGCCTGCCAGTTAGCTAGCAGCTACATTGTTCACACAGCAATTCACTTTTCACACACCAATTGACTTTTTCATATAATTATAAGAGGAGTCATTGGTGGTTACTACTCCCTTCACTAGCAATGATAATGTGCCAATACACTGACATGTAACATAACTTGCATATTCAATTTCACCAACACTGATACCGATTGAATTTTGCCACCCCGGCTGGGTATAATAAACACTCTGCATAGCAACCTTTTGTGCATCTTTGGAGAGGTTATATAGCTAATGAACCACATCCAATCAGCTGCACGCTCCCCACCTTGAATGTAGCAATACAAATAATTATAGTGGACTAAGAACGGTGTGCGTACATTGTAGTCACACTATGACACTTGCAGGCAAATGCACAATGCATTTACCAACTGAAGCGGTCCACCACTTCCTGTACAAATGTACGACATCTTTATTAATTGCAAATAATTTCAGTAATATGGAGAGGATGTTGATTTTCCAGAGAGATTACACGGAAATAATATATGGGAGATTTTTTTATTCCTAAAGATATCTGTATGTAACGTAAGATTTCCCTTGGATTTCGTGGCATTTTAAGGATTTCGAAAGTGATTTTATTTTAGGCTCAGTCTACTGTACTGAATTCGTGCAGGAAAAGCATCAGTAGCTACACTTTCTGTGCCTTCGTATTGAGTATGTTTTTCTGAGGCAGGACCAGCATTGTTTCCATGTATGGACTATAGCTGTAGACACTGAAGTGTACAGTATGCTCCCAGAAAGTGAATGGAAATCATGGATTAGAAGTTTGTTGTATAATGGAGATTGCTGCAATTACAAAGAATCCCCTTCTGTAAACTAGCTCTACATGCGTACAATAGTAGGACCACAACATCTACATAAATTTGCAGTGGGAAGGACCTGATATTGATAGGGTTGTATGTCAACCTCAACCTACCAGACCCCATTCTCTCCCAGTTCCTCAGAGAGTAGCAGAAGCAGCAGCAGAAACAGCAACAATGATGAAGGCAGTTTTGATGGAGGTGGCAGTGATAATGGCGATGAAGGCAGTGTTCATGGAGGTGGCAGTGATAATGGCGATGAAGGCGGTGTTCATGGAGGTGGCAGTGATAATGGCGATGAAGGCAGTGTTCATGGAGGTGGCAGTGATAATGGCGATGAAGGCAGTGTTCATGGAGGTGGCAGTGATAATGTCTATGAAGGCAGTGTTCATGGAGGTGGCAGTGATAATGGCGATGAAGGCAGTGTTCATGGAGGTGGCAGTGATAATGGCGATGAAGGCAGTGTGCATGGAGGTGGCATTGACAATGGCGATGAAGAAGGGGGGACTGTTGCTGGTAAAAAGTAAGTTCATTTTCATTATGTATCTAATTAGCCCTTACCCATACCGCAGTGGACTCACTGGACCAAGTGGACCAGGTGGACCCTGTGGACCCTGTGGACCCAGCGGACACAGCGGACACAGCGGACCCTGTGGACCCTGTGGACCCAGCGGACACAGCGGACACAGCGGACCCTGTGGACCCAGATATTACGTCATTCTTAAAGAAAAACGAGAGTTACAAAGCTTGAACTGTAAGCTGGAGAAAGTTTTGACTGAGGTAAACATTACAGCGGCACTACTTTGATTTTGCCAGCTGTCCCTGTCTACTACAAGGTCAAAAAGAAGGCCCGTTCAGACCAAGATCAACTGAAGGCAGTAAAAAGAGGGAAGAGAAATACTATAAAGAAGTGGGAGAGCACTGAGAAGAAATACAGTAGCCTCAAACCTAGGCATGAGCAGAAGATCCGATGTTTGACCCAGAGCAGCGAAGAGTTTAAGGCAAAGTGGAAAAGGGCAGAAAACACTTTAAAACAAAAGGAAGTTGAGATTGAAAAGGTAACATAAAAAGTGTAGCTAAATGGTGTCAAAATAATTATTACAATTATTATTCCAGAGAATGAAAGATACTCAGGATACCATGATTGGGAGAGGAAACATTTGAAGTCATTATTCAAGACCTTAGAAAAGAGAATGTTGAAACTTTAAAGAAAGTGATGATGTGGCAAGAGGTATAAAAATAATTATACCACGTGTTGGGATAGTAATTGCTGTTAAAAATTATGTTTAGGGATCCACTGAAAGTGATGTCTGTTCAAAATGTAAAAATTCTAACAAGAACGTGATAAAAAAGCTGATGAGTGTGATGTATTAAGTGAGGAGATTGAAAAACTTAAAAAGAAGGTTTGCAGGTATATATTCATGACTGAACAATATCCCCATAATATTTACATTTCTAGTTGAAATGCACTAAATCACTCCACGATGAAATGATGCTGAAACTAAAGGTTCAGGTTAGTAGACTTTCGTGGAAAAGTAATGTAAGCTCATACTCACTGACACATTCTTAGATGGAGTCTCCTCATACACATACCGGTGGTGATGTTCTATCCGGAATCACCATGAGGACTGACATTGAGAAGTATGGTAAACTTATTGACGAGTGAGTCCATTCACTGGGAATGTGAAGGAATAGTAATGACTAATAATTTACTCTAACAGATATAGTGAGTTTTTGCTGAGTAAAGAAACCAGAAGAGTAATGTTTTAAAAAGAACTGTAAGATTTTGCTATTTTTAGTATGGTGGTTTGTGTGTGTATCAGCATTATTAATAATTTGTTACCTGACCCGAGTCTGTTGCTAAAAAATGCACCAATCTTATCATTCTACCATTTTTTAACAACTTAGAGTAGGGGTACGCATACTGTAAAACCGGAAATATTGGCGTGCTCCATTAAAATTTAGTGAATTTGGCATTTAAAAATGAATCACTAAAACTAATGGTCCGGCAAACTTTTTTCATAAAAGGTCAAAGTTAACCACAACTTACAAAACACAAATAATAATGGCTGCCAATATGTGGAGTCTGAGTAAAACGCTAAATACAATGGCCGCCAATATTTGAGGGTTTACTGTATCAGAGTTCTAACTTACCCCGAGGGTGCTATAATACTTCTATCAACAGGTGAATACATGGCCTTGAACCTTTACAATTACATGTTACCATTAGAGCAAAGCAAAGCAAAGCACCACTTCTAGCGTTGCAGTGTCCTCTCCTTCTTCTGGGCACATCTATTACGTAATGCAAATGAACACACACATAAGAGCTGCACAACCCCACTCCAGATACAAAGGCTAAATATATACGAGCTACAAAAAAGAAGCCATTTTTTTAGTAATTCAAAAATTAATGGGTCTGAGGGAAAAAGCAAAACAAAATAGTTTAGCTACTGTGTGAAGAAACGAAGTATTAAAATTTAATGGTAATCAGAGAAAGTAGGTGTTTACCTGTGACTCAGCTCTCACAAAGTAAATGGAGGATTATTTGAGGCAATAGCCAGATGGTGAGCGGCCACCTCTGATAGCGAGGATTGAAGAGCAGTTAGAGAGCAAAATGGCTGCGGAGCCAGTCCATTGTTGGCTGTGCAGCAAGAGGGGTGTAAAACTGTTGTGGTATAGAGTAGATAGGCTTGAGATAATTATGCCACTTTTTTTTGGTATTATTCTATTCTTTAATGCTCATATTTTGTTGCTACAATTCTTACGGTTTGCTGCTATTATTCCCAAATTATGCTCAAAAAACCTGATCAAAAATGACCTACAACAGATGGAGAACATAATATAATCTTGCAATGTTAAGCCCTGTTGCGCCGCAACTTTCCTTTTCCTGTTGGTGCTGGCCAGAGGCGCCTGCTTTACTAACAGGGGTGTCAACCTGCAACATCTCTGGGGCCAAAAACATGGCGCCAGGGACGGCCTTGGCGCTATACCCAATTGCAAAGTTCAGCTAACAACCGGTAACTCCACGTTCGCGTGTGCCCGTATTGCGCAGAGACGCGTAGGCAAGAGCTAGGACCCGGCGCTTCATTTTCTCTGAAAATTGCGCTTGGCGCTGATTTTAGCGCCATAGCGCCGGGTAACGCACGCTGCTGCAGGACGTAGAAGGTACAGAAGAGCCTGACCCATCCTCGCACGGCTTGACGTCGTGCTCGCACTGCTGCTCGGGCGACCCGGAGGACGACGACATCGGTAACTGCGGCCGCATAATTAAAAGTAGGCGCGGTTGCGCGCGCGTGTTTTCTTTGCTATTATGCTCGGATTATGCTTGCTGCTTTTTGCTTTGCTATTATTCTCGAAATTATTCCCGCATAATTATCGCAAGCAGGAGGGCACATCTGTCCAGTGGCCGACATGACTTATGGTGTCCAACCTTTTTATAGACCATTTATGGGAATCCCAAAATCCAATTCAACATAATGTGATAGCAATGCTAGTGACTCAATGCTCACCTTTTTGATCCTAATAAATATTTCTTGTACTAGAATTAATCATACAGGTTAATATAATTCAAGAGAGCTATCAAAACGTCAGTAAGTTTTGCACCAAGCTGTATGAATATAGTGTTGTGCATTGTGTTTGTTGTGTTGTTTGTGTACATGTTGCTTTGTGTTGTTTGTTTGTCCCAAGTCCATGTCTCAGTTGTGTTCAACTCAGCATCTATGTTGATAGCCAGCTGGTGGGATGTTAAAAGGTGACATTACATCAATACACTTCATATTTCACTCCTGTTAATATTGTTCAGAATTTGTATGCCCGTAAGTTCTGTCATCTATCAAAGTGTGGTAAAATTTATATCCTCCCGAGCCTACAAAATTCTAGGGCGTTCCTTTTCATCCAGGTTACCCCTCTCATCCTATCTCTCTCTCGTCCGCTCTCAGCTAACTTATGCTTCGCAGATTTGGAGACTAAAGGATATTTCTGCACTTGAACGTATTCTACGTCGAGCTACCAAGTATAATATACATCCTAAATGAAAAGCACTAAAGTGCAAACCCTGCGCATGCGCGGTAGCTACATAGTCCGCTCTGCGCAAAACTGTGTCGTGTCTACGCATGCGCGTTCAGCGACGGCGTCGCAGACAGATCCACGATCACGATTCATACCTTGCTCGCAGCCGCAGACAGCCAGCCACGATGTTGTGGATGTTTTTGTCTAGTAATGCCCATGCAGAAGGTATGATTGGGCATTATTAACCCTCCGCGCGCATGCGCAGCGAGGGTTACAGTAGTTAGGTCTATACTCTATATACATCTCACCTCTCGAATATCTGTTCGTCCCAGAAACGATACCATCTACCCAACAAGCGACGAAGGTCAGAAAATATGTGGGGTTTTCTCTGAAAATGCTCCGTTGCAGGCGAAAAAGCCAATATGCAAATACGCAACGGACGGGATGGCTTAGATACCACGGTCTGATCGATCCGCGTGCTCTGCGTACCTCGGAGGCACCAGAAGATGTAACGCAGGGCGTGTATCGCCTCTCGCATGCTATCTAGTAGTGTAGTTAGCCCGCGTCAGACTCCGCACGAGCTGGCAAGAGACAACGAATAACAGCTAAAACTAAACCCAGCCCATCAATTAGTGGTACGGCGCATGCGTTTACTTGCGCGTGCGCGTCACAATGCGCCGAGGGTTTGCACTTCAGTGCTGACTATGGTATTATGCTAGTGCAGCGCAAACGCTGACAGTATTGTTGAATGTAACTTCTTTTCTACGCAGATCATTGCTCATACAAGTATGTAACTCAGTTGTCTCACTTTCGAAACAGCGACCCTTTCATTGAAAAACGGATAATTTTGAAATGTCAGGTGGAGGTTCCTCTGGAGGATGCAGACATCACTATGGATGGTTCTAAATGGTCAGGAGTTGAATAATTCAGTCATAGAGTAAACATATCTTCCGGAATATATATTGGAACTGATGTTCGTAGGATAAAATTAACACTAACAATAACAAATATATATTACAGACGACTTTGTGGGGAATACACATGCAAAGTTTTGAGAGATGATCATGAAGATTTTGTACCCAGTGATGCATTGAAAATTCCACATGACGAGTTAGAACTGCATCATGGCCTGGACCGTGTCAAAATGGAAATGTATTTGGACATTCCCCTCCCCAGAAATGTGCCATCAAAATACCTCCAACACCTTTGTCAACCCTTTCTCCTCTCCCCCTCTCTACCACTCACACACCCATTGCTCCTACCTCTGTTGCTCCCACTTCCGTTGCTTCTACTTCCATCGGTCCTACCTCCACTTCCATTGCTCCTACCATTGCTTCCACCAGAATTCCTCCTCCCCCAAACTCATATCTGGCAGTATCTTTTGCTGCCTATAACCATATCCATACTAATTCTCATGCTTCTAATTTCTGCACCCGCTGTTGTTTGGCCATGAGTTACCACCCAACACACACACTCTTTCTTCTGGATGTGCAACCCAATGCTGCCAGTTTCTATGCAGCAGCTAACGACCAATCACATTGTGATTCAAATGAGTTCTAGGTGGGAACTCCTCAGTTCCAACTTATATCGTACTATAGTTCCCATGGCTCTGTTGTGCAAAATCACAGTGAGGTTTAGGCATTAGATGGCCCACTGACTGAAACACCCCTAAAGTCAATAAGATGCCTGCCTAACACATACTCTCTTTCCCTCTCTGTCCCCTCCTCCCTCCCTCAGAAGCGGGCTTACAAGGAGCTGGGCCGCCAATAGTTCCATGAGACTGAGACATTTTGCATGACACTAACAGTAGCTTATTATTGTGTTGGCAAACTGGTATTTGCCACAGTGCATGCATGAGTAACTCAATTTATTTTTGCAAGATCAGCAGTAGTCACACGATGCTTTCCAGAGGCACTAATAAGCAGACTACGCCAGTGATGATATACACCTGACTACCACGTTACTTGTAGTTACCTTCATGAATCCGGATTGGGTTGCACGTGTGGTGCAGTGTGGTAGTAAAAGTTCAACCCTTTGGGAGAGCCACCCTATACTTAGGTCGATCAGTTAGACCTGTCATACTCCTTGCTGCAAACGCTTTACACTAAGTTGTTTACCCTTTTGTCTGTACATGTATGTGTGCCTTGATAGGGGATGAAGCAATCCACCATAGGCTAACATGCACTGGGGGATAAGTTACTCTAGTGCTACAGGCACATTCTAAGCTATACTACACTGACAAACCATAACAGAGGTATATAGCTATTCTAAGACAGCTATGGTGGCCTGCTGCAAGTCTGGACCATGCAGACTTCTTCCAGAGGTTGAATGGAAGGTTACACTACAAGAAAACACAGCTCACATAACAAGGACATTGTCATTATGACATCATCATGTGTGCAATCATGCAGGCAGCAAATTAATTTGTCACCTCAAATTATATTTATCATCATTTCCAATTCAAATTTATGCATGTGTCACACAATAAAAACACTCTATACAAGAAAAAGCAAACAATAAAGATATACACCTGCAAACCAGGAACCACTATAATTAATGACTGATAATTATTGAGGCCCCTAGCCTAAAATGACCAATAGATTGAGAATGTTGTCAGTGTCTTTCTGTAATACAGAGACGAGATTAGAAACAGTCAATAGCTCCATCTCTAAGTGAAGTTTCCTCTATTACTTAAAAATGGAGTCAGCGTAAAAGGTGGTATAGTTACGGGCAGATTTTTATTTTGATGTTGCCCGACAAAAAAAACGGCAAACCAAAACAACCACTCAAGTACAATTGTAAGTACAGTGGAACCCCGCTTAACGGACCCCCCTCTACAACGGACACCACGTCATAACGGACAAACTCGCAGGTCCCGATTGTTTTATCGTAGAGTTCCGTACGTTCATAACCCCTCCAGAACGGACACCCCGCTACTCCGTATAACGGACAGTAAAACCAATCCCAAATGCTTTTCAACATAGAAAAAAACCCGCGTAACAGACAGTTTGCCGCATCCCCCTGCCAGCGAATGCTAGTAGGCGAATGCATGGCATTATTGGCGAACGGGAGCGAGCACACAATGATTGTATCTGCACGAGCCATCCTAGAACCACGAAGATTGGAAAGAGGTATCATACAGCCTCAGTCAGGTATCGAAGAGCGCAGCGAATAGACGAAAGTTCTTTCGCTGGCTGGATTTCGAATCGATACGACAGCTAGGCAGCGTGTAAAAATTTTGAAAATAGTTCCCTATCACGCAAGCGGCGCTGATACAGACGAGCCTCTCTCTGCTCAGGAGTCTCACGGGCACAATGTTCTCTTTCCCTCTCTCTTCGACGACGAAGGGCATCTTCAGGACTGATCATGATTGCGAGAGTACGGAGCCACACACACACACGCGTATATATAAGCACGCGTGTACTATATTCACGACGACATCAGGCAGCATGTGAAAATTTTGAAAGAGAAGCGCGGAATATTTTAGCGCTCTATAGACTTTGACTACTGTCATCATCATCCATCATATCATGTTGTAATCTTGTCTAGAGCGATTTTAAGGATGTTAACAGTGAATTAGTGACATAGAATTATGTAATACTGTATAATCAGGCAAAACCCCTCCATAAAGGACACCCCGCTATAATGGACAAATAATGTAGTGGCTCTAAGTTGTCCGCCTTAGAGGGGTTCCACTGTACAATTACAGAGGTGTAAGAGGGGAGGGAAATGAGTGTGTGTGGGTAACGGCCTCACTTGGCTGGAGTTAGAGACTTCCTGTCCTTGGGAGTGTGCCGCTCTGCTGACTCGGCAGAGTCAGGCTCGATTGGCTCACTGGCTCCTCCTCCTCCTCCTCCTCCACCTCCCCTCCCACCTCCTCCTCCACATATACATACTCCTGCACCAGTGGCAAAATGCATGCAGTGTATATTATGTGGCTCTTTAGTGTGCCATCCATGTATGTATGGCATACTTTCTTATTGGACATACAGCTAACTTTTGACTGGTAAAGATTCAGGCTTAGTGAAACATATGGTTAGACTCAGAAGAGTGTGAGGATACCATTGCTTCATCAATTTTGAAATTGGATGGAAAATAAGCAAGTTATGGCAAGTTTTCGAGGGTCCAGGTAAAGTCAAGAATGGGTTGAGGATAAGGGTTCTGCATAAACATTAGCCACAAGGTTGGACAATGTCTCACCTTATCCTCCGGCCAAGTATACGGCCTCTGTAGGATCAAAGGGAGAAACAGGTGGGAAGAAAATACAACTAAAGTGTAGAGGGTAAATGCCATATACAGTGAGTAAAATCCAAAAGCCACAAACTTTGTATGTTTATGTAAATGTCTCACATTGCTCTCCATCCAGACTTGTGGCAACTGCTGTATAAAGTACACATGGAGAATAACGTATGTAAACTGAAGTGTAAGAGAGCAAAATTTAGCTATAAAGCGGAAAAGTGTTCACGAAAGTGATATAACATGTACCGTTGGCAAGTGAAAGCGAGACAACCTAGTTGTGACAACTGGCTACCGCACATAATTTTTGTGGCATTATACCACACCACGATGTAATATCGTCAGAGAAGACGATACGATGGGGAATACTAGTCTGAGAGAAGAGGCAAGCCTTTCTGGCCTCGTGTACACCTTGGTGAGGAAGATCAGACGTGTGTGTGCACTTACATAGCTGGAGGCTAGCGAGCAGGAAGACTTACACAAAGCCTGAGTAAAATGCAACCCTATGGACAAGCTCTCAAACTGCAGCTGCGTAACCCTTTACATGACAAAGTTGCTGCCACTCGCACAGTATTCGCCTAGTAAATAAGTATTATATGTTTTCCTCACTTCGAATTCCAGTTCCACTCCACTCAGCTGAGGAGAAAGAGCAGAGAGGAAGGGAGAGAGGGAGAAAGATGAATAAGTGCCAACTGTCCAACATAAGAACTCTAAAACAAACAAGACATTTTCTTTTGCCTCATTTCCGAATAAGGGACACTTCTCAATAAGGGACACTTTCAATGTCCCTATGATGTCCCCGATTCAGATGTAGAGTGCGGAGGTGGAATATGGACAGTAACTAAAAGGCACAGCCATGAAGTGAGGAGGGATGTGTTGGGATGTGTTTTCTCATGTTCTCACTGATCTTGCTGAAGGTTCCAGAAACTAGAAAGGGAGAGAGAGAGAGAGAGAGAGAGAGAGAGAGATTTTAACGGGAGTCAAAACTCAAACTTAAAAAAGTTTTAGGCGGCACTTTGTCCATATTTGTGTGGGGAATTGAGGAACACACATTCGAACACTTACAATTTACAGGTTTTGATATTGGTAGTCTCCTGAATCAGAGTCTAATAAATCTATGTGACTGCACTGGTCATCAGGGGAGTTCCCCATTGTTTATCATGCATTACATGTTTCGGCCTCCTTTTGGAGCCCAGCAGTATACATTAATTGGTACACATCTAATTCTTCCAAACAGGGAACCTCAATTACAGATACAGATATTCTTCAGCCTAGTTTTATTGACTCTACAGCATATACCTGGTTGCTTTTGCTGACTTGCTTATACTGACCTATTTAGCAGACTACAGTATATACCTTGTTATGTCTCTGTGTGGCATAAACCCACTGACAGCACTAGGGGTGCTATCGCTACCTTTCAGTTGGTAGTTATAGTAATAACCACTGAGGGTGATGACTATTAACCAGATGGGTGCAGATTCTACTTTGACTTGGTTCGTGATTTGGGGGGTTGGAGTGGGGATTGGGCTTGTGATGGGCTGTGGGAGTTGGAAAAAATCCACATGAATCAAGGACTTTTTTTGAGCAAGAGTGAGTTCTGTTAGAAGCATGTAGTCTAGATGCATATACAGTTAGAAAACGTAACTCCATATATCAAATTGTTCGCTCATTCCCACTCAGCAATTATAGTATGCCTTACTTCGACACAGTTTGAGATGAGGGGGACGTTTGTTGAGTGGGAGTTTGCAGGGTTGAGTGGGGGGTCTGGAGTGCCTTCAAAACACACCAGCAAAAGCTCTTTGGCCTATCTCTAGTCTTTAGCTGCACATAAGCCCAACCTGTTCATACCTGCCTCCTTGATCGCTTTCTTCGTGGCAGACTTGGAGGGTTGTCTGGTGAGGAAACAGTAAGATACAGAGTGAATTTGTTATACATACATGCCTTGGCTAAAGAGCCATTTAAGGGCAACGAGCCAGCAACAGGCAACAACAGTATCTCCTCGGGGAGGCTCAACAGTAAATCTTTGAGGTATATACAATTTAGCAACTTTCAGGCCATCTCCACAAAATTGTGACTAACCTCTTTTTTGCAGCTGAATAGCTGCTAGAAGGACGACAACTGCAACAACTAATACGATCATTGCCACACCTCACACTCCTGGGGCTTAGACAGCTGGAATAGGGAGTTTCCCTAACTTAGAGGTTTTAATTTGTGCTGTTGTGTACACAAAACCCTATAATTCTCTATACATAAATATTACGCTTTCCTAATTGACGAATGTACGAAATTTCCATAAGGGAAACGAGTTGATGGGGACACTGGTGAGTGGGTATAACCACTATTGTGCCTCATTCCCAGGCCCTCTCACTCAGCACACAATTTTGCGTATGACCTTTAAACCCGAGTTAGCAGAGAGAGGGCATGGTATATTTCGTCATGCGAGCAAACGCATTAGGTAGACACGTTTTGACACTATATTCGGGTAGACAGCGTTTGATGCTCAGACATCGTGGCCAACGTAGGAAATGTGGGATCGGTGAAGCAAGCCAATAAAGCAAGGTTGGTGGAAAATGACGACACGCAGTAGGCTGCAAAACCGTGGCAGCGACTTCACTAAATGGCTGTCTAGAGGCACTTTAACAAAAACAAAGCTAATATACCACCTTCTACACATTCAGACAGCCATTCAGCGGAGTCGCTGCCACGGCTGCACAGCCAAGGTCCAATATAAGCTTACAGGGTGTTGACAGTCTACCAACCTTGTTTTACTGGCTCGATCACATTTCCTACATAATATACCATAGGCCCTCTCTGCTTAATTCTGGGGTTCAAAGGTCATACCCAAAATTGTGCACTTGAGGGGGCTGGGAAAGAGGCTAGGTATTGCCCACAGATCACACACAGGGCTTAGACAGGTGGGTCCGATGAACACTGAATAGGGAGTTTCCCTACTTTGAGGTTTCCCTGTTGCTGCTGGGCACACTCCAGCAATGAACCACAACAGCTTATTCCCCATATTAGTTTACATCATAATTTTATTCATTGATAATAATTGAATATAGTAGGTATTGCACATAATAGTAATACATAGAGAATAAAGAAGCTATTTGATGAACCTACATAAGGGAACCAAATTAATGGGGACACCTGAGTCAGTATGACCACAACAAATACAGCAGCCACACTTTTGTACTTTTATAAGCAAGCCAACTGCACAGGGGACCAGGATTGTGCACTGCTGATCAAGGATGACAAATATGGTATAAGACTTGCCGAGAACGTAATGCCAGGCAAGTCTTTCTGCTTCACATGCTCGTTACTCTCGTATCGCACATCCTTGATCAGCAATTGCGTGTTACCCTGGAAGAAGACGCACATGCAGTCTAAAACAGGCAAGGCTACTTCACCTGAGAACATGTACTTTTAGATGGCTCCCTCTCGCTAGTCAAAAATGCACTGCATTCACTAATTACAGCATTCACTTACTGATTATTGGCTCTCCACACTCCTTGGTGCCCGCATCAGTGAATCAAAGTGAATTTTCCAGTATTATTGGCCTATGTAAACCCCTTGGGATCGAGGGGTGTTTGGATAAGGGAAAGGTTCGGTTTGCTGAAGCATTACGGCCGGCCATGCCTGATGATTTTTTATTGCCATTATTACTCATGCTATGAAATATAGTTGCTTCAAAATCCTGAGTAGCTGCCAAAACAGCTGCAGTGGCAGGGCTGTTCTTAGACCTAACACCCACTCGAATTTTTGGGTGGGAAAAGTTTTGCCATGCCCTTATGATTTTGGTATGCTGGCTCAAAAACAAAGCAGAAAACTACACTGTATAATACCCACTATTGAATCCAAACTCTAGTTGACAAGACAAGACAAAGCTAAACACCATACGTACAGACGGAGTTGCACAGAGTCACCTTAGGTGTTTTTCCTCTATCTACCCAAATCCTCATTGAAAAGATATAGCTAATGATTAGGACCCATAATAATAGCTAAAAATAGCTCACAAGCGTATCACCAACACGCAGTGCAAGTGACAGCAACGAGTAATTCACCTCGTTCTGTACATGACGACTGATGAGCGAGGAGCTGCAGGACGTGGAGTCCGAGGATGTGTCTAGAGGCCATCCGATCGCGCGTCTCGGCGCATGCAGCCAGCCACCGTTGCACGCACACCGCACTTCGCGTCTCTCCAACTAATAATTGCATTCCAGAGTTTAGCACACGCCTCGTTATACTTCCCTCTGGGAAGTCATGGACTCTTCCACTCTGGTGAGTGGGTATAACGTTATTTTGTGTCAGGCGAGTAGACTAGCGAGACTAGTGCTAGTGGTGAGCGCATGGGGCAGCGGTGTAGTCAGCGGGTCAGCGTACACGGACTCGAAAGGCAAAACACAACTCTCCGGGAGCCGTCTCTGTCAGAGTTGGCGCGCGTTGATGCTAGATGTAATCAACAACAGCTTCACTTTTTCCGTGTCTGGTTTTATGGAGTCAGCTTTTTATCTACTCGCATGTCGCACTAGATGTTGCACGGGAAGATAAGAGAGTATTTGAGCATTTCCTTCATGCATGATGACTAAACCACGCTAAGTTGGTGGGGGAAAGAATGGTTACCCCCGTATCTCTAACTGCTGGCCTGTGAACCCTGGCAGGTGTTGCCAGATGTTCTCATGAGAGCATTTTGATGTGCATACTTTCTTTTTTCAGGCTCTGTGTGCCCTGATAATGGCACAGAAGAGACCAGAGAAGAATGCGAGGTTGAGTGTGAGTGTGAATTTACTGAAAGTGAGTTTGATGATGATTTTGAGGGTGAGTCAGGGGATAGTTGGGAGAGTGAGTCAAATGACGACTCACTCTATATTCCCACACCTATTCGCGAAAAAAAGGCTCGCCTTATTGATTTGCCCAATAAATTGGGTTTTATTGCCTTGCCTCAATTGGGAAAATTTTTAGAAATGATGAATGAGGCTCGGGGCTGCAAAACCCCTGGTTGTAAGGGAAATGTAGTTCCCACACATGTGCACAGCCAAGGGTTGGGTGGCACATTTTCCATTACTTGTTGTTGTGATGTCTGCATACATGGCAGAAATGTGGGTGATTTTCATGTCCCCTGTCGCATTGTGGGGGAGTTTGCTGGCCGATACCAGCTATACAGCTCGAAAGGTGTTCTGAACACAACATTCTCTATCACTGAGCTTACTCCCTTGACTACTTGCTCTCCTATCCCACTTGATGCGTGGCGTCAAGCCCCTAAGGTCTCACCACGTAGCGTGACTAACGACCCAGGTCTGCGTGAACCCTGCAGTTGCCACATTACCGAGTCCCCCGAGAGCATTGCGGTTTCTTCAGGATCTGAAGGAGAAAAGGAGGCACCAGAAATGTGGGTAAATAACGGGGCATATGCTCTGAGCTGTCGTGATCGGCAGCTAGTTTTGTCTCGAAGAGGGTGGCTCACTGACAACATCATCTGTGCATCTCAGATGATGTTGCTTCAGTTTTTCCCCAACATGGCCGGCCTGCAACCCCCCACACTGCAGAAGGTGTCTGCGTTTCAGGTCCACACTGGTGAATTTGTTCAAATCATGCACGTCAGAAACAACCACTGGTGTGTTGCGTCCACAGTTGGTTGTCAGAGTGGTGTTGTCCGTGTGTATGATAGTCTGTATAACACTCAGTCCGTCTATTTGATAGCACGCATGGTCCATGTCCCGAGCTCTGACCTAAAAATTGAAATGATAGACGACGAGAAACAGTCCAATGGTTCCGACTGCGGGATTCTGGCCATAGCCTATGCATTTGACGTATGCAGTGGCTTGAACCCTTGTAGTGTTAGGTTTGATCACAGTAAGATCAGACCACATCTGACCACTTGTTTTGAGAATTGCCTGGTTTCTCGTTTTCCTGTGTTAGGAGAGCGAGAGTAGTGTCCCAAGAAAGCCAAAGACAGTGGAGCTCCACTGTTCTTGTCGCATGCCAGAAAGAAAAGTTGATAAGTTTGCCGAGTGTGACTCCTGCCACATCTGGTATCACCGCCACTGCATGGATATTCCCAGTGAGGTGTTTGGTGAGTCCGAGGTCCACTGGGAGTGCAAGAGGTGTGTGAAGCAACGTGGTACCTGAGTGGGTTGTTGCTCCACTCGGGTATGTTTGCACCTGAGTGACTGGTAGATTATGCTCAGGGTGTATTTTTGTTTTTTGTTTTTTTGAGCCAGAACCACTGGTGAGTGAATGCTAAGTGGTTTGGCATTGCAAAGGTTGTGCCACTGCGCTCACTATGCATACCGTATAGCTGGTTTATTTGTTTAACAAATATTGGGTCTAGTATAGCAGCACGACTACCCAAGTATGCTCTGTGGAGGGGCTGACTCCTATGGTATTTAAGGTTAACACAGGACTACAGTACTGAAAAACAGTATAGATTACTTAATTGTACACCACACAGATTTTTCTTGTCAATGGATTGTCATCATTCTATTACTGAAATAAAATGTTCCCTTTGCTATTCTCTAATGAAACTTTTGAAGAAAGTATTGTGCAAGAAAGCGAGCCGACTGTAAAATACGTTATGGCGCACAAAGTTTGATTATGCCCCGACTCTGTTGCTACCAAGACACAAAGTAAAGGCCGCTCTCAAAGTAGCAAAAGATGCAACAACCCTAATCAGTCTGTTCCATTACAGCTTATGGAACAGACTGATTAGGGTTGATTGCATCTTTTGCTACTTTGAGAGCGGCCTTTACTTTGTGTCTTGGTAGCAACAGAGTCGGGGCATGAATGCCAGGGCTCCCATTCGGCCATTTGGCAAGCAGAACTGGCTATGCAACTGAATGCCGGGCGAGATAGATATGGCTGTGAACAGTGCAAGCTCCATCCACTCTACTAGGAGCTACAATAGCAACCTATCCCCTAACCCACACATAAGCTGTATATACATGGTCTATGTTACATGGTCTCATTCATAGAAAGTACCATTTAATGTTGGGGGTACACACACGTTCTTAGAATCTGGGCACAAGACAACTTGGAAGTGGCAAAACAAATTGACAGGGGCGTACCACTACGGCAGTCTGCCAAGACCCAACATAACGGGTGAAGCTTGGAGTTGCAGTGTGCTCTATGGGGGGGCTGACTCTATAATTATGGTTTACACAGGACTCAAGTATATACACATGCAGCAGACATGGCACCCAGCAGCTACCGGCTAATTTGCACAGGAGGGATTTCCCCCTTACAGCCATGGTGTGCAACAACAACAATCAAGACTCTTATGGTGCTGGAATTGCTACATACACTGTATATATTATATAAATGTTCCTTAGTACAAGGATAGCTCCACTGCATGGACATTGGTCTCGCATGTAAGTGAACAGAGTACCCAGAACCCATCACTCTACATTTCCAAGATTAACGCTTTTTGTGACAATTATGGATGGGACTGACTATGTCAGAAGTTTGAAACTGAAAGTACAAACCTCAAATGTATGGGCATAATGCCAGACATCCTGTGTCATCCCTATTAAGTACTACCTACTTAGTGATTACACATCAGAGTAACCCACACAAAAAATGTCCCATTGATCATTGCTCCATGCCACTACTTGACCCTGAGCACAGGGAATCGTGAGTGAATGAGAGTATACTCTGACATTTGATCCACAGAAAATACCCCCAATAAAAGCCCCAGTAAACTGACCTATCAAATCACATACTTAAGCAATCATAATGCTCTAAAATGCATCTCCAGAGTCACATTAGGACTAAATACATGGGCACAATGAAAGAATGCTATGACTAAGGTAACCAAAATTGCTGTCACCTTCACTCATGTATGGCCTCTATAGCTCCACATATAAGTAGTATAGGAGAATTGAACACCAGTCAACAATTAGTAAAACATATTTATCACTGGGTACAAAACTTGTCTAGTCCAATGGTCCAGTCCAGTGCCGTAAGAGCTCGAGGTTCTGTCAACTAGCCCCACCCTGTGAGTTTCCCTATTAGCAAGTGGTTTTTTTGTGCTGCTGCAGTCGGCTAGTGCACTTCTAACCATGAGCCCAAGGGGGTTAAAAGACATTTTCTGTGGACCCTGGGGAGAATCTTCACAAACCACTAATTTTTTTGAGATGAAACAAAACTATTACTCAGTCAGAGCACATATTTACACAGACAGGGGAGTATGCAATCTATTTTGCCTTAGTTTCAAAATTTGGAAGGAGCAGACCATCTGACCAGCTGGATACTAATTGTGACAATTGAGAGTTAGTGACTAGTTAGTAACAGGCTGGCTTGGGAATATTCACCAGTAAATTCCCGCAGTCCACAGTGAGTGTTGGCTTTGTCACACTCAACATAACTTGGTTGTGATGAGCTGCATGTCATCTCTCAGCCTGAATCTGATGACCATAGGATTTTTTGATGACATCTGATATCAGTAACTGTGGACTAGCTCTTGTTTATAATTGACATTCCAACCTACCCCAAATTACTGACAGATCACAGGCGAGAGCACATTACATAAAGAAGATAGTATTGAACTGCGTATATGTGCAAACACTGTTAGGCACGAGAACTTTTTTCAACTGCCCATGACATCGAGAGTGGGTGGGTTTTTTGACATTCTTTGTACAGTGTTCCCTTTAATAGTCTGCTGGCCTGGGAAAGATGCATCAAGGTGGGAGAATTGGTCGACTATTGGAGAGTAATAAACATGTGCATGTGCATGCATATTTTACACATCAAAATGTTGCTCCATATTATAAGTCTCTGTTCAAGGATTTGTAGTTCCACCTTTTTGCAAGGATGTTTTTGCTCCCTTCAAGCAGAGAATACTGCAATTCGTTTGTGGTCCAGGTCGCTAATAGATTGGTCTACCAACTAGCATATGTTTCTCAGTTTGTTGAGAAGGAGCATGCAAAACTTAGCATTTCAAACACAAACAATTTGCATTATTTTGCATTTCAGTATATCTGCCTCTTTAGCATACAAAAGGTAGTGTAAATTTGATGCCTGGTTTTCTATGTACATTGTCATTGATCCTTCATAACTAGCCATTATTACTAAGAAGCACATAAGTGTAACCAATGTTGAACCAATGTTGGCACAAGTCCACCCACTCAGGAATGTCCGAACATGAATCTCCCAGCCAACATATAAAATCAGCTGATTCCGTTACAGTAGTGACTTTGCCTGTACATTATATCACATTACAACATCTCTGAGAAACCAGGCAAGTGCAACTCAATTGTAGTATATACGTCTCCATCAAGTAACAAAACTACAACCACCCCAGGAATGAGGACAATGAACCCCATCTCCTTGGCAACCGCAGCCAGATCCGTTGCCCTGTTATCCCCTCTCTGAACCAACTGGACCTCCCCAGACACCCTTTCTCCGTCCCTCACTGGATAATTAACTTTCTGAGCTATGTTCCCACTTTCAGGATCATTGCCACATTTCTTCTTCTTGTTTTTCCCGTCAGACATCATTGTAATCATTGCAACAGCCAACAGAACGCAAGCAATGGAGATTGCAATAACCAAGCAGAGGTAGGCTCCAGTAGCAATACTGCCTCCCTCATCTTCACATGTGATTTGACGGAAAGACATTATCAATATGTTGTAGATGCTGGAGAGAGTCATTTGCATCAAGACGACCAGGATAAAGTTGCCCTGGAATCGAGATTTGCGGTACTGCTCAAGAATTGCAAACAGTGCCAAAAACAGAAGGACGACAACGGTGAAAAACGAGACGATGTTTGATAGTGTGGACACCAGGTCCTCAAATAGAGAAAGGACAATGAAAAACGAGTGGAAGAACGCTGCAGTCGTGCAAGCAGACAAAAGACCATTACCCACCTGACAGCATGTGACGTGAGCTTTTCTAGATTTCCTGCATCCCGAAAAGACCACGCCTCCCAAGAACGAGGCAAGCCCGGAAAGATTATAAAAGAGCATGCATTGAGTCATTGGAGAGAAGAAAGGATCGCGGAACAAAGTACCGTCCACTGTCTCCGAGAAGTGACAGTAGTAAACAATCATAGAGAGAGTCAAGTAGACGATAAAGAAGCCTGACACTAGTGAGGCCGTGGAGAGCAAGCTAAGTTGGGCAGTTTGCAGTGTCTGTGTCGAGAATCTTGATGCTAGAACACTTTGGAGTAGGGTTGAGAAGCAAGGAAGGAGAAGGAAGGTGAGGAAGAGAGAGAGCAACCCGATAGTCATGAAGAGATGCACTTGCGATGAGCGAACAGAAGATTCATCACTCAATGGCTTGAGTTGCAATTGATCTTCGCCCTTACCTGAAGCCCTAAGTACCTGCGCAAACACAATCAATTGCAATTGTCACGTATAAAGCAAGTGGATACACACAAAAAATGTCTTACCAGTTGGAAGATTTGGTTGTAAACTCTCCGTTGGTTAGGCCCAGGGCAGGCCTGCAGCGGCAGAACGATGGTGGTGATGTTGATCCGCTCCGAAGCATCAGTAGAGCCGAGCGTCATGACGTCCCAGGCCGCCGCTCCCAGAGAGGCCAAGTAAGGACTGTAGCTGGCGACGAACGACGGTCCGCTGACTGTGTCATTGGGTCGGCTTTGCTCTTCTTCCCCGCAGAGATCGTCGTACGCAAAAATCCTGAAATCCTCGTACATGTTGTACGAAACGTTCAAGAAGAGGAAACGAAGATAAAACATGACGGCGGGTGGGGCGAAGTAGTTTGGTCCTTCGACCAACGCTGCATACCGACCCTGCCAGATGGACGTGTAGGCCACCCCAGTCTCGAGGTCTACGTCTCGAAGACACTCTGGCTGCTGCTCCAGCGTTACCTGGAACGAGCCGACTAGCAGAAAAGGTACAAAGAAGACTGCTGCAGACGAAAAACGCGCGGAGAAAGCCATCGCTTGCTGCAAAACTCTTGCTGCAAAAACCGCACAGGGGTGGATAGATAGTGTTCACAAACCACTGACTATCACGAGCCGTCCCTGGGGTTTCCCCCAGCCGGCGCTGACGTCTACGACATGCGCGCGCCTTAGAGCATGGCGTTCCCGTAAAAATCCTATTTGTCACCAACTGATAAATAAATCATAGAAAAAACGGGGGAAATAGTGAATTGGTGAGTCAAGAGTTAGTCATGCAAATAGCGGCAGTCATCGATAGACAATTGCAAAGATGACGAGAAGAGTTCAGAATTCAGACTGCCTCGAGATACTTGATGATCCTACGGACATTCTCCAGTCCTGTACCACTGGAGCCCTGCCAACAAGGAGAGAGGATGAAATATATACAGACGAAAATATCAGCTCATTCATTTAGGGGAGTGAGATTTCTTCAGTGGGTTATATAATTATAATACTGTTCAGCCAGTAATTAGTCAGTAATTCGACCCAAAGCGAGAATGCTTTGTTGTTCATTGAGCACCTTGTTGTTCATTTTGCTATAAAATTCACCATGTATATACTCATAACAACAGATGGACAAATTGCTCACCTGTTATAATAATTATCCCCTAGGCTACAACCGAACCCCAACGGCACATTATAGGGTATGATTTACTGGCCAGTAGTAGTAGCACCCACTTAGCTGTATATACTAACACACAGCAGAAGGCTGAGTCACTCCCTAATCAACACCCACTTTGCGGGAATTCAGGCATTGTGCTGGAGAACCATACCAAGTAGGTTTGATGATGGCAAGTATGCGTTGCACGCTCATATAGCATACCTGCCATCATCAAACCTATACATATACTCAAGGGGATTTGATGTAATGCACAGTTGAGGCTCATGGGGGAGTAGCTAATCCCCTCATTTGGCATATTTAGTATATAATTCCCACTAGAGTTTGATAGTGTTGTAACAACAGTAATACCATTTAGCGTTGTAATAGATACTCCCCCTCCAGTTCCTCCCACCCCCTAACAAATCTGATTGCATTCTGATTGTCCCCCTAGAAACAAGCAACCCGAAAAGCATTAGTCAAGTTCATCACAAACCATGCAGACCCAGCAGACCCAGGCAGACAGACTCACGGTGAGGGTCATCACAAACCATGCAGACCCAGGCAGACAGACTCATCAGTGAGGGTCATCACAAACCATGCAGACCCAGCAGACCCAGGGGGAGACAGACTCACAGTGAGGTTCATGAAGGAGACAAACTTCCTGAGAACAGCCATCATCTCAGAGAAGGTCTTGGACGGCATTCCACTCCTAGTGAATGGCAAACTAGATTAATGTTGTGGTACACAGATACCATAGTTTCCTGAGTCACTGAAACTCTTATAGGGCTCCTTGCTACTAGAGTCACACAGTTGTATGCTTCTTCGTCATTCAGGTCAAAGCAAATCAAACGCAAACAACACAACTACTGTCAGGACAACTCTGGTTCAAAGGTTAAAATATACAACACAAGACAATAATTAAGGCAAACCTCCAACCACTGTTCTTAGAAGCCCAAGGGTCCATGTCCTGTTGTGTTGTGGGTGTGGCTAGGACTCTACATGTAGGGCCTCAGGGGTTCAACCTCCCTCCCAGGTCTCCCTCCCAGGTCTGCCTCCCAGGTGCGCCTCTCCCAGGTCCCCCTCCTAGGTCCCCCTCCCAGGTGCGCCTCTCCAGGTCCCCCTCCCAGGTGCGCCTCTCCCAGGTCCCCCTCCCAGGTCTGCCTCCCAGGTCCCCCTCCCAGGTGCGCCTCTCCAGGTCCCCCTCCCAGGTCTGCCTCCCAGGTCCCCCTCCCAGGTGCGCCTCTCCCAGGTCCCCCTCCCAGGTCTGCCTCCCAGGTCCCCCTCCTAGGTCACCCTCCCAGGTGCGCCTCTCCAGGTCCCCATCCCAGGTGCGCCTCTCCCAGGTCCCCCTCCCAGGTGCGCCTCTCCAGGTCCCCCTCCGAGGTGCGCCTCTCCCATGTCCCCCTCCCAGGTCTCCCTCCCAGGTGCGCCTCTCCAGGTCCCCCTCCCAGGTGCGCCTCTCCCATGTCCCCCATCCCAGGTGCACCTCTCCCAGGTCCCCCTCCCAGGTCGGCCTCCCAGGTGCGCCTCTCCCAGGTCGCCTCTCCCAGGTCCCCCTCCTCAGTCTTCTGGCTGTCCTGAGAGTCATGCCGGGAACCTCCCTCCTCTTCCTCTCCCTCCACTCCCCCCTCCCTCTTTCTCTTCTTCCTCTCTTTGGATCTGGAGATAGAGGACAGGACACACTCATTAGAGGTAGGACACAGGACACACTTCATTAGAGGTATATATATAGGATACTAGGACAAGGGACACATATTTGAGGCACACTTATCACCACACTCCAAACCACTGACTTTCATCATGTGGGTGCCTGGCAACATGTGGACAGCCTCTTGACTGGTGTTTTTAGTTATCCTGTCATAGCTGTATATACCACATTCGTTCTGCTCACTGCTAATATAGGTAGGTGGTCCCTGTTTCACTAAAGTAGAGTTTACCTATTTTCTCTCAGAGTGGTCTGAGCCTTCAGACGGTCAGCGAAGGAGGGAGTGAGGTCTCGTCGAATGTACGGTTACTAAGACTGTGTCGGAATTGAATCGACCAATCAGAATGTGTAAAATGCCGAGTCTAAATCTTGTAATCCATGGTGGAAAGTAGGGTAAGTGCTCCAGATGATCTACTGCATGTGTGTTCAAAGTTGGGGTTGTCAGAGTCGAGAAAGAGATGAAATGGAGCAAGGCATGGTCACGTGCAAGCGACACATGCAACAGAATGCCATTAGTCATGAATAATTAGCACAGCTCAGCATACGTAGATCCTACTAATGAATGTTTAACCATTTGGACGCCATGGGTATCTGCTTAAATGAGCAGAAATTGATTTATAAAGTATTAGCGCATAGTATTGTAACCCCCATATAAATTCTTATGGACTTATGAAGCTCTGGACACATTAATGTGTCCGTGGCTTGTTGGTGTATGTACTCCGTGCTCGGATATGTTAGCACATGTGCAGGTTCTTGCTAAGAAGGCAGAGTGTGTAATCAATAGTGTATGATGTACGTTGAGAATAAGTTTGACACAGACAAGAGATAACTACGTAGTCATGAGCAAGGCTGGTAGCTAACGCCATACATGGAAAATATTTCATCACATTTGCAGCTTCAGCAGAGCACTTGAAAGACTATAACAATCATGAATAGACGCCCTCCCAAATGACTATACTTTGCTCTTAGCGGTATCATGTACATACATAATTAACCCTCGGCGCGCATGCGCAGCGAGGGTTACGGTAGTCGTTCTGTCATTCTGTCCGTCCGTCTGTCCGCGCGAGTTCTCGCACTACAGGCTACGAGGCGGCCAGTAAGTGGCACCAAAGGGTTGTGAATAACGAGAAGATGGATATTAATGTGGCGATTTTCCTGAAATGACTGCGTTCCAGAGATATGGCGTGAAAACAAGCGAAAAAGCATACGCGAGCGATCCATCGCGCATGCGCGTATGTGGGTGTATACCATTTGCCGGAGCATCAGACGCGAGCGATCCATCGCGCACGCGCATATGTTGCCGTAACTATCGTTTGCCGGAGCTGCGCATCTGCGAGATGCCACGTGGTTATTTTAGTTGACCTTGGACGAGCAAGCGGTTTTTGAGTTTTTCTCCTCTGTCAGTGTTGATCTCTGTTCTCGATGGACAACAAACTGAGCAAGGTATGTCCTCAATGTAGTACAGCAGTTCACGTTAGACGAGCAGTTTGTGCCATGCCTTCCCATCTAAGCATAAAGCCCAGTCTGGCAATATATCCCAAGCAACGAAGCACAGTAGAATGCAAAAAGCGAATGTGACAGCCTTTGAGTGTGGTATACATAGTCACTATGGAGTAGTGCTATGTTTCTATGTATATCACTTGACTAATTTTATATTAATTCGGTATTACCATCCCTCCTATACAGGCTATCCATCAAATATCTCATACATGACAGGATCAAAGAAGAACTCTCATTTCTATGTTGAAGGATCCCTCTGAGCTATATTATCAAAGCACAGACACTCTATCCCGTCATGTTCAATGCACAATAATGCTCCGCTCATAGCTGAACTGTGTTACTGCATACTGCAACAACATGTCATTTGGTTACCCTGGTAAGCACTAATGAACTCATAGCAGATACCCTATCCATTGTCATCTTATATTCATTTTGTAGTTACAGTGGAACCTCATTAATACGAACACTGTTAAGCGAATACTGTTTGATACGATCCACTTGAATAGCCCACCTATAGCTTACAAAACCATAAAGTCGCATTTTGAGCCGAGGGT